TTTGTCAGCTGGAAGAACTTAATTGCTGGGTGAGAGTAGAGTGCTGGGAAAGAGGAAGGTAGAATCTGCTAAATAGTCAAGACAGAAAGATTGTCTGGTCCCTGCTGTCCTTGGGTACACAGTCAACTGGTGGCAGGTTCCTCATGGTGTTAATCCGCCCTGGAGAGATTTTTGGCAAGTGGTAGGTCATCAGGAGACAGATGCACAGCACTTAAATCCCACAGGCCTCGGTGGCACCTGAGTGCCGGTGGGTATCGGAGGTCTTGAGCTGTGTGTTTGGTGCCTGCCCTGCTTGAGCGAGTTTGTCTACAAAGGCAAGATTGTGTGGCTGTGGTGCAGGTTAGCATGCACATCTCGGCCACTCGCCCAGCGCTGCCCGGCAGCCCTTGCCAGGGCTGGCAGAGAGACCTAGCCTGGGGAGATGGCCCCTTGGGTGCTGCTGGTGTTGGGAGGTGGCAGGGTGGCTGGTCCAGCTATGTGAGCAAAGGTCAGTCTGCTGCACATGTGTGTTGTGACAAGAGTGGAAGAAAAAGCCTCTGAACAGAGGGCTTTGTATTGCTGCACCTTCACCTGTGTGTCTGCAGGTCTCCAACCTGTTTTAAGTTCTGCATTTTAAATCTAGCACTAAGGCTTTTCCATCTAAGAAGGGGGATTTAATCTCTAAACCCAGAGTGCTTGTGTTGTGGGAGTAACTCACCAGCAGGATGCGGTTTGAAGAGAGAGATGCAAAGGTTGGGCTGAGAAAAGGGTGTTGGCACGTTAATGAGAAGCAGAGAGGAAGATTTGGGCTTGCGGCTCCAGGCAGCTCCCCCCAGGCCTGCCATCAGAAGCAGCCTTTTCATCTCGCTGCCCTTCACGCTGTCCTTCAGTGGGACAGCTTCCCAAATATGGGCTTGCTGACTTTCTGACCGAAATAGCGGCTGCGTGACAAAATGCAGCACTGAGGAACGTAATCTTAATCCAGGCATCATTGTGTAGCAAGAGACAGGAATTTTATGAGCTTCCAGAGCAGCTTGGTGTCAGGTTTGTTGTTGTCTGCTCCCTGTACGCATGGTGGTCCCACAGGACTCTTCCCCAGACACTGGCTGAGTGACAGCTCAGTCCACAACTACCCTCCTTGTTGTAGAGGTTGCCCAAGCCAAGAAGGGAAACCTGTGAAGGGGAGTCTGTACTGACGTGGCTTTGTGGTTGGTCTTCATCCTCTTTGACTTACCTTGTGAAATCGTTTAAGATCTGCGTCTTCATTTCTGCTGGTTGAAGGAAGCTGAAGATCTTTTTTTGGGAGGATTGCGTATACAGAGCCCAGGAGATGGAACTGGCAGCTGTGGCCCACTTGAAACTACTCCCATTATGTAAAGCTGTGTCATCTTTGACATTTTAAAAACTTCAAAAATCTTATAATTAAGTCCTTGGTATCCTGCAGGAAGCCAATGAGCTTGAGGGCGTCTCTGTACTGCTGTACATCAGGTTATGCGTTTCGTGCTTGCTGCTGCTGTATGTTGTACTTGCTGCAGGTGATTTCACCCCTTTGCAATTAGGAGGACTCGGTATCAAGTTCCAGTTTGGCTCCCTTTTTCCCTTTGAGAAAAAAAAAAAATTGGGAGCAAAGGGTATGTAATCAAACACTGAGTCAGCTCATTTGGCAAAGGTGAGCCATCATGCTGAAAGCCAAGAGCAGAGAACTGGGGAGGAGAAAGCGAAGCACTGGGAAACATTCTGATGGGGCAGAGTATTCACTGGGGACATTGATGTTCACAGTGAAAACAAAAAGTGAGGCTGGATACGTGTTGCTCCTTCCCTCTTTACCGCCTTTCAGTAGTGTGTTAAAGCAAAAAGCAGTGAACAGAGCACGAGTTCTGCTTTGCCCAAGTTTCAAGGCTGTTGTAGGTGTTCCTACGTGACAGCGGCTTTGGCATGGTGAAATGTTTATTAGACGTACCTTAGCTCACGTTGTACTGCTGCTGCCCTGGTGGCAGATGTACGAGTGTAGGCGAGCTGCAGAGGTTTCATTGGGGGGGTGTACAAAATGCCCTCCGATCTTCCTCGCTTAGTCCACACAGCAAAGTTTCACTAAAGGCCACAGAGGGGCCTCAAACGTGCCGGAAAATCTGCAAACCAGGTCAGGAGCTAAATCTCCTGCTAGCGAAAACAAGCAGAAGAAATGGCCTGGGAACTGTGGCTGTGTCTGGTGGCTGCTGTCACCTGCCAGCACAGCTCCTGTCTCAGCCGGGGGGTTAAGAGCACACACATCTGGGGACTGTTTTAGAGAATGGTAAATGGCTTTTTGCCTGTTTAAAAAAAAAAAAAATTGATATTTTGATGACATTTAAAAATTTTTTTTACTTTTTCAAGCAGAGCTTAGGGATGTGTCATGTTCCTTAAAGGCTTCTGGCACCAAAACTTCACTATGCTTGCAGGGAAAACTGCAAATTTGCCTGGAGTTGTGTAGATACATGGACTCCTCTGGGTGGTTTTCATTCATCATTAGCGCATCTCCAGGCACATCCCCTCTGTGGAAGTTTCAACCAGGCTGACCCTGTACTGGTTACTGGTTTTTCAGATGTCTAACCCGTTCGCCGGCTTGTCATGTCGCGTTACATTCCTCATGCAGTTGTTCCCGTGTTTTAGCCAACAGTGAAATCCACCCGCAGCACCCCACCCCGCGGCATTTGCTGTCTAACTCTTGGAGGACAGTCAGTGTGTTAAGACAAATCGGTCTTGCAGCAGTTTTTCTGACTTCATGCAGAGCGTGCTGACCTGCTGGCACCTCTGGTCTGCGGACTGCAAAAACCCAGAGAGTCCTGGGTGTGTCTGCTTTTCTAGGGACAAGTTTCAGCTGCTACAAGAGCTTGGTTCTCTCTCCAGCCACCACCTTCCCTGTTTTACTCTCAGTTCAACAGCACAGGTAGCAGCGAGCTGTGACCTTGCTGGCTGCCCGTTTTTTTTCTAAGGGGGAAGAGCTGAGACATACAGTCAGGTGTCCACAGCCGTCCTTTTCCTTGGGGGAAGCAAGTGTCCAAGCCTCCCCCAAGCCACCAGGTTGGCTGAAGGGAGGGGGCTAAGCTGGGAAAGATCCTTAATTCTTCTCTTCTTCGCTTTTTAGTGAGGCAAAGCCTGTCAGAAAACAGTGAATATCTTGGAGATGTTCTTGTTGGACGTTGGGATCTGGTCAGGACAGAGGAAGGTAACGGGGCTGTCTGGGATGCCTGCTGAGATGTGATGTGAGTATGTGCGTTGCCCGTGAGCTGGATGGTTGTGGTTGTGGGGAGAGCTGGCGTCACCTTAGCTCGTGGCCAAAACCCAGGTATTTGCACCTCCGTGGAGGTTTCCAGGCCTGGGGTAAAACATTCCTGCTTTGTCCTCAGAAGCAGGTCTCAGTGGGACTTGTAAAATAACTTCTGTTGCTATGCTGGGGAGGTGGAAAATTCCGATTTTTTTTTTTCCCATCTCTAGGCTATGGATCCCTTGGAGACAGAAGATGGTAACACTCAGCAGTGTTTCCTATCACGGCATTGTTCAACCAAACACGAGTGCACCTGCGCTTCTGCTGACTCAGCAGGAGCCATGGCATTGAGGGCTTGGGACCCTCAGGGACACCCCTCCATGCTGGTTCTTCAGATGTTTGCATTAGGGTGTTCCCAAAATACCATAGGTTTTAAGGAAAATTAGCTGTTGTGGCTGACAGGGTCTCATTTCCTTGATTTCTCTGATGTTACAAGTCCAAAATGGTTGGACAAAACGTTTGGTGCTCATCATCCAGAGGAAAGACACAGCCATGTCCTTCCAAACAACCGACAACCCCTCCCACGCCAGCTTTCACCTCAAGCTGGTTCCGTCTGCATTACAATATTTCAGTGCTGCTACACATCAGAGCACGTGTCACATCAAATACAGCTGCTCAGGGTATTGCTTCCACAGCAAAAAACCCCAAAAACTGGTTTTGGGAGGAAAAGCCGCAGGACGGTGCAGCGGGCACAGGGGCGCTGGCATGGCGGCACGCTTGCCCAGAGTGGAGGGCAGCGCAGCCGGGGCTTGCACCAGCCTGGTCTTGCGCCTTGCCCTGCCAATGTTTATTTTGCTTGGGTAAACGTTTGATTTTAGCAACATGACTGCAATGTGTGAGCTGTGCTGGGGCTGTAATTCGATGGGAGGAGGCAGCTATGTGCAAGGGAGGGCTGCTAATGCCACAGGAATGCTGCGCTTCCTTGGGATGAGAGAAGATGGCGCCCGGGGCCTTTGGGGACAGCGTGGCTGGTCCTCCCTGGCCCTGCTGTAACCCCATGCCTGGGGGCCCAGACCCAAAGCAGGGTCGTGCCTTTCTCAGGGCCCCTGCGGCCCAAAGGGACGTGATTTCTGAGGGAAAATTGGGTGTCTCAGTTATTGCAGTGAGGCTCCCACCCGGGACTGCTGGAGGACCATGAGGAACTGCAGGGCTGCTGCTGCCTGCCTCCCTCCTGGCTGGGCGAGAGGGGAAGGAAGCACCCAGTCTGGCTTAGGAATGGCTTTTATCCATGTTTCCAAAGAAAATAGCGGTCGTCTTTCTGTATGTGCTGCAGAGTGTCCATCAGGATGGTGGGGTGTCCCTTCAGGACAACTGGGACAGGAGCGGGGAGGAGGAGGAGTGTCCCTCACCCAGGCATTTTGGTGGGTGATGGCATAAGTGATTGTTAATTCTCATTTCGTTGCTAAAATGCTGACAATGCTCCAGTTACACCAGTACCAGCTCCCACTGACCTCACCATGGTGCGGGTGAGGAGATGCAACATGGCAGCCCCTCACCAAGCACCCGTGGCCCTGTTTGCGGGGGGGTTGCCCCCAGGCTGGTGGCAAAATACCTCCTTGGAGGCTTTAAGCTCAAGCTGTGGTGTCACTTTCATAGTCGTGGCACACAGGTGCTCGATGTGGCCCCAGGGAGCGACCTCCATTAGTCATGAGTACATGACTGAGGTGAAGCTCTTGCTAAACCTCCAAAGAACGACCATCTGAGGCACTCAGTATTGACACGTTTTATTTTCCCCTGGCCACCCTTCTCAGCGCTCGGTCTTCATGCTGGTAGCCGGGGGACTTAGCCAAGGAGATGAGAAGCAGAGCTGGAGGGGTTTAGGAGATTTAGGCTGTCGATCTTGTCTCAGATTTATTCAACTCCCTTCATAAACTCCAGGAACTCTGCCAAGGGGAAGACATTGGAGAGAAGGGGTGTAAGGTGGGACTGAAGTGCCCTTGCAGCTGCCAAGCGTGCTTTTGGCAGCTTTCCCCAGCCCTGTCTCCTTTTCTACCTCCCCCAATGAGCCAGAGGCCGAGGGGGAATGGCTACTGCTCTTCTGGCCATGACGAGGACTCCTTGTGACTCCTACTGGAAATGTCACTGGAGCCCAGCGTCACCCTTGGCTGCCACCAAAACACTGGAGGTGAGCACCCGGGGAGGGACGTAGCCACTAGCTCAGCTCGGAAATGGTCTGGGGGTTGTTTCAGCAGCATCGCGTTCAAAGGAACAGCCTTTTGGAGCTGCTGTTTGTGTTCAGGGGGCAGGAGGGGATGGGCATGTCTCTGGTGAAAAGCAGGTTGGTTTGCTTCAGTGCAGGCTGGCTTTTGCAGCATGGGGAGCGTTAAGGGAGCCCCAGGTTCTTGCTGCTGTTTCATGAGCATAAGAAACACCCCATCCCTGTGCAAACACTGTCTGCGGTCAGGCATATTGCCCAACACTGCCTCAATGACCTTATGCCCATCTCTAGAGGCAACCAGGAGTTGCCCAGGGAATGCTTGAGGGCTCACAACCAAACTGCGTGCCAGAAAGACTCCTACCATCATAGTCAATCCTGCCATCGTTGTTTTTATCCCCATCTTTCATCAGTTCTTCTATGTCATCCTCAGTGATGGTCTCACCGGTCGCCTGCAGCATGATCTTCAGCTCCTCGAGGTCGATGTAGCCATCAGCATTTCTGTGTGAGGACAGAAGAGCTCAGGAGCGGACCGACACGTTGGCGAGGGGGAGCTGGGGTGGCTGCACCACTCCCACCACCCCACCATACTGCAGTCACGGCTCTTACTTGTCAAACATCCTGAAGAGATCTGAGAGTTCCTCTTCGGTTTTCCCTTTGCTGTCATCTTTCATACACCGGACCATCATAACGAGGAACTCATCAAAGTCTACAGTGCCGCTGCCTGCAGGCAGAATAAACACCATCAGCTGGTGCTGTGGTGGGTGGACGGGCAACACTACACGAGAGATCACACTTCCCTTTAGTACCAAGGAGCAAAACTTGGGCGGGCACCCCTGCAGCAAAAGGCAGCTTTCAGAACGCTGTTGTAAGTGACTGAGGCCATGGACTGACTTAATCACTGAATTTTTACCTTTTGCAATCATTTTGCCAAGGCAAAAGGAACCGAAAATCCTACTGGAAGCGCCAATGAATGGAAATTCCATTCGTGCTATGGAGATACGTGTCCATCTCATCTAGGTAATAATAAAAGCTCCGGAATGCAGTTATTCATGGAGTGTATGTTTGCACTAGCACTACAGCTATTTCCCTTTTTTTGCCTAATTTTTAACTGCTTTTTTATTTTATGATTACCTAGTATGAAATTTCTGCCCAACCTGCACACAGTGGATTTTGTTGTGTGTGATCATTGATACACTGATTTAATTGAGATTGACTTATTTATATATATATATGTGTGTGTGTACACTTGAGCAGTGAAAGACCTTCCTTAGCACTACAGCTATTTCCCTTTTTTTGCCTAATTTTTAACTGCTTTTTTATTTTATGATTACCTAGTATGAAATTTCTGCCCAACCTGCACACAGTGGATTTTGTTGTGTGTGATCATTGATACACTGATTTAATTGAGATTGACTTATTTATATATATATATGTGTGTGTGTACACTTGAGCAGTGAAAGACCTTCCTGCAGGCAGTTGCTACACTCAGCCTGTATTTTGTTTTTTAAATGGGTCTATGCAATTTCAGAGTACCCATAATCCCCCAAAATCAGCTCATGCAGTCTGGTCATTACAGGAATAAATTTTATAGTTTCTCTTCGCCTGGAATTTTCCTAAAGGAACCATGCTGAAGTTCGGTGCATGTTTAGTGTCCTTCAAAACCACAGCACTGCAGCTTGCTCCCCACAGGCTGTGGCCATCCCCAGCACGGATTCTGCCCATGCTGTGCAGATGCTGAGCGCTCCCAACCCGCACCGTGCCTCCCACGCCTGCGGACATGGGGAGAGTTCTAGCGAGAGCAGAAGGAACCCAGATCTCTTACCATCCTCATCCACCTCGTCTATCATCTCCTGCAGCTCCTCAGGGGTCGGGTTCTGCCCCAGCATCCGCATCACCTTCCCCAGCTCCTTGGTGCTGATGCAGCCATCCTCTGCCCCCAGCACGAAGATGTCAAAGGCAGCCTTGAACTCTGGGGAGAGAGGAGATGTGGGGGTCTTGCCCCGCACCTTGACCCTGCAGGCGGGCAGCCCTGGGGCAGGGGGCTCATCCCAGGCACAGCCTCCCCTGCACATGCACCCCAGCTCTGCCCAGCCATGGCATGGTGGGGACACCCGGGCACATGCACAGGAACTGCCTTTCTTGAAATGCTGGTGGATCAAAATGCCTGTGTTATGCCCTGCTTTGGCCACTCTGGCCAAAGCATTTTCTGGGGTGTAATTGCTCAAGCAGGCTGGGCTGCCGGCAGGGAGCTCGTCTTTAGGCTGCAATGTCGGGTTAAAAATGCACATACCATTTTTTTGCTCTTCTGTCAGCTGCTCAACCTGTAAGGAAAATGCAGAGACCAAGTAATTTTTCTTCCTCAGCATCACTAATGGTTAAAAGGTAATGTTATTTGTTCAACAGCCTTTGCAAAGGTCAACCAAGCCTCACAACAGTCACCCTCATGGACTATGGGATGTACAACCTGTGGGGTTTTGACATCGCAACTTTTTGTAGTTGAAGAGATTCTTCCCTTAAAAAAAAATATTCCCAATTCCTTTGAAGTGAGCATCGCTTCTCTAGAGTGGCAACGTCTGATACGTGGCAGAAGTAACCTTTGCACAAGCAGGGGAGACCCACTGGGAAAAGCATTTGTCAACCATTTAGGGATGACTTCTTGTTGCTGGTGGGCTTCACAGTGGGATGGCTGCGCTGCTGAGGGCTGCCCGTGCGTGGGCTGAGGCCAGGCCAGTGGTGGGACAGGCTGGGGAGGTCCCTGGGAGGGAAAGGCAGACAAGACCATCCCCAGAAGTTGTTTTACAGCCCTAGATTCAGGAAATTCCCTCCAGAACATTAAGAGCTGGTTTACTTCCACCCAAGTCAGTGTTAATTGCAAAGGTTTCTGCCTCTGAAGGGAGCTGCTATTCCCTTTAGCCTGTTTTGAGTATCTCCCTGAAGAAATGGCCCATGGAGCCATTAGGCATTAGCTGAAATGGGCTGGCAGATTGTTCTTCCCAAACCATACACTAACTCATTACCTGCAGATGTTTAGTGGGAACTTACTAGTTAGCATGAATTAATGAAAATAATCGATGAGGAGAGCAAAGAGTAATCCATCGGATCTGTGTCATGCCTCTTTAGGTGCATTTCTCTTTTTGGCTTCATTCCTTCCTGGAGGTACTGCTTACCTAAAATTGCTGACCCTACCATCATGTCTGACTGCCCCTTCGGTAGCATCCATGCAAACATTGACTTTTCCTTCCCAGGCTGGTCAACAGCCTCTCCGGAGTCAGCCCGACATGACCCCCTGCGAGGATTACCTCTGGCCCGTGCAGAAGGTGCCTGACCCCACTAATGTCTCCTTACTACCATCCCCGTGCGAGCAGTCCCTAGCACCCATCCCTGCCACGTTTCGGTCGGGGCAGAACCCTGCAACCCAAGGTTGTGACACCCTGCCTTTGAGGGAAGGCTCATGCTTTTGCCCCAAAGAGAAGTGGTTTTGCAAAAGCCAGCTGGAAATCCTTCTCGCTTGCAGGGAGAGGCAGGGAAAGTGCTTTTTCTTAGCGGGGCAGAGCCTGTGGGAAAGGAGAGCCTCATCCCACTCCCCACATGTCAGGAGGTGAAGACTTTCAAGTCAGAAAACGCTACGGACAGCAGCAGGATTGCCGTTGCAGGAGGAAACCCAAGCCTGCGGCAGCCCTGGTGCCGCTGAAGGCAAGCAGGCAGGCAGGCAGCTGCCAGCCCTTCGTGGCTATTGTTTGGGCAGAGCGAGGGCAGCCGTGATGCTCCCTTGGCCGTCTGCAGCCACTGTCCTGCCGCTCAGGTAACCTGAGCCTTTTGGTACATTCGCTATTTATAAGCCTTGGTGAGAGAGGTGCTGGAGATAAAGATGAGCTCCCCAATTGTTCCCAGGCTTTGGTATTTATCCTTGCAGCTCTTTATCTGGACGCTTGTCCCTGGCACTGTTCTCAGCCTCAAAATGTTCCCAAAATAGCTTTGTGTTTGCACACCCTTATCTAGGCATGAGTGGGCAGGATGAAAATCCATTGGGTTCTCTGGCTGCACGTAGAAAGTTTGGCATAATTATAATACTAGTATGTGCCATCAGCATACAGCAAATAAAAAAACCCCTCACTTTTGAAGCTTCCTTGACTGCTGATACGACAGGTGTGGAGCTATGCTGTATGTAAATTAAATGCATTGCGACTGTAGAGCAGCACTTCTATTAGCGAGATGTCCCTTGAGCTGTTTATAGTGCCCGCTGGACAGGGTTCCTGTTCGCGGCTTTATTCCTTTTTTCCTTCCACAGCATTTCAGGGACAGGTTTCTCCAGCTGCGGTGTGGGAAGGCAAGCACGAAGCTCACAGCACTGCGGCAGCCGTGGTAACGCCAAATCTTCTCTATTTTGCTTCTATCAGCTCTCTTCCTTCTCCCGTGTTTCCATTTGAAGTCAGATGGGGGAAGCTGAAGTTCCTTAATATTTTTCCAGGGAAACGTTTTCTTACAGTTAAAATCTTGGGGAGCAGATCCACAAAAAAGCTGTTTGTCTCAGCTGTGCCTGGCGTGGGCGTGTTTTGCCTTGTAAAGGTGCTGGCAGTTAATGCCCGGGACTCGAGCCCCACATTTACCAGTGTGCCCCCACCTTCAAACCAGCAGCAAAATCCTTACGGGAGCCCATCAGGTCTTTTGCATGGCCCATTGCCCTGGTCAAGGTTCCTATGTTTGGGGTAACTTTCTGGTATCTGAGGTGGGAATTTTTGGGTTGTTCTCTATTGCTGCAGTTCGTTTTTCTCAGCTAAATTCCTCCATCGCCCAACCGCACTAAAGCCCACAGGCTTCAGCTAGGGATGACCTTCGCCTGTGGATTTTTGCCCATTTCTGGGGCAGAGATTTGGAGAGAGGCTGGAGCTTGTGTGTGGGGAAGCCTTTGTTTTTGGGGCTCTCCACCCGTGCTGCCCCAGCGACAGACAGACCCTTTTGGCTGTGGGCATTGCTAGCTTGCAAAGCACTTCAGCCTTTCTCCCTAATTATGGGCATGAGATCCCTAAACAATAAGAGGACCTGTGCCTTGAGTTGCAGAGAAGGTGTTTAATTAAAAAGCTTAATTAGAGAGGCCTGGACTTTTGACTTTACAGGTTACATTTTTCTCCCTTTTTGAGGTGTTGGTCCAGGGACTCAGCACTATATTGTATTGTCAGCCTTTCCCGAGCCTTTTCACACTATTGGGATCACTGGGGCATGTTCATTTCACGAGGTTCAAGGCTGGCGAAAGGACAGAAGAGGTGTGAGCATTTTGTTGTTTTCTTCAATTACGTGTCAAGCAATATCTTTCTTCCCTTTAAAAACCTTGGAATTGAAATAAGACTTGTATGATGTATTTTTTATGCCCTCTGTTAAAATCAAACCTGATCAACTCTCTCTATCTGTATCTATTTATATCAACTATAAATATATATATTTTTTTTTAATCACCAAAAAGCTCTTATTTTAACTCCAGTTATGGAAGGGTCAGTGTGGCAATCCACACAATCCAGAATCTATTTTCATCCTTATTCCACCTGCATATCACTGTCTGTCTAGGTTACAAAATAATGCAGTGTCCTTTTTACAGACCAAATACTTTAGGTTTACCCAGTGAGCGCAGCGTGCAGCTGCGTAAGTTAAAATAGCCGTTAGGATGCTCTGCGTTCCCCGAGAGCATAGCTCGCATTCTGGATTTCTGCAGAGCAGATATCAGTAGCGGCAAAGCAGAAGAGGATGTTTGGAAATAGCTTCCAAAAGCCCAGGTTTTTTGAAAACCTCCAAGAAAAATATTCAGCTAAGGAAGGGGGAAACATAGCAATGGCAGACAATGGGTATAAAGCACCAGAAAGGAGAAGGTGAGGTTTAACCCACACAAATAATCTTCATTTCATGGGAAATGCTACTTTGCTTTGTCTTGGCTAAAACCAACAGCCACCTCTTATACTTTCAAGATTTTCTTGAGATTTATAACCACCTGCGGGCCATCTTCCTGCCTTACAGTGGGGAACCAGGGGAGTAACTGTAAATAATTTAGCAGCGCAGTTGAGAGTTTCACGCGTACAAGAGGAGTGTGAAACCTTCAGAGCCATCAGTGGGTAAGGTCTGTGTCCTGGATAATGATGTTGACTAAAAGATGCCACCCTATAATTACTTCTTATTTGCATTTCTCCATTGAATTAACTCCATCACAGCTATGGGAAATCTACTACAAAATCCCTGAAAACCCTTTAATCACCCCCCCAAAACCACAGCCCTGAAGGAAGACACTTACCGCTGCCTTGTAAATGTCATCCATGGCTGGAGAGAGCAGGCGAGGGGCCGGGGGACGTGACGGTCACGCTCTGCCAGCACTGCCCCCGCGAGCCCCACTGATATAGGGGGCTGCCCGCCCCGGGGGATGTGACCAGCCCAACCGCAGCCCCGCCAGCCCGG